AATAAAGTACTAGAGCTGTAACCAGAGTTAACAATTCTGTACTACAATATTTCAGTTAAATTGCAGGTTATTAAATAAAGCAAGCCAATTTCTGATCTTACTTAATGTACATTTCCAGTAATTCAGGATCTGATGTCAATAAAAAAAATGTTTTAGATAGTGCAAAGAAGTGAAGTAATCAGATTATCTTTCAGGAAATGTATAGTGTTCATTTCAAAGTATTTTAGCATGATACAGAGCTCCTAGAAGGATTCACAGTTTTCAGGGTAGTAGTTTGAATCAGATGGACATAAGGTCTCTTTGTAGTAGAGTCTGTGTTTCTTGCTGTGGTGGGCTAGAGGAATGTATTTCTTCTACTTGGCTGTGCAATTCACCATTTCTTAGTTATCTGAGTCTTTAGGGCCTGGGTTTATTACAGAAGTGATCTCTCAGTGAGAACACACAGGTCAAGCAGAGTTTACAGGTTATTATGGGAAAACCCAAGAGTTGGTTTTGTTGAACTCTTCAAGTCTTTTGCCTCTCTTTACATCAGCTTTTAGTACTCTTCATTTGGCAGATCACATCTATTTCGCCACTGCCAAAGGTCTGTAGTTGATTTTCTGGACATTGCTAGTCATGAAGGTCATGTTCCAGACCATCACTGGGTCAGCCCTTCTGTACTGGAGGCTCACAGGAGCAGTTGGGTGTAGGTGTTAGTGACTGACCTACTGAGGCTGTGCTTGAGCAAGCAGGTAGGAAATGATGCAGGATTCACACAACTTACACATCCTCTATCTGACATCTGATATTCTTGTAATCCGTGATATTAACCTAATTACAATCAATCTGGGCAACAGAACTATCTGTGCATAATTTATGCATATCTCTAGAGCTTTAGAGAGCGGGTCCTTAAATGCAAATGGAACTTTATGGATGTGAGTATCCCCTTTGTCTCAGTGGACTGTGAACTCATTCATACCAAATGATTTTGTTTTCCTGATAAGGATGTATGTGAAAGAGGGTATGTATTTAGCAACAGCAATATATATGAGTTGACTGGGATTGACCTTCTACAATTTGGGTCCCTTTGAGGGCTCTGGCATTAATGCTGTTGCTACCATTGTCCCTGATTTGTTCATGTTTATGCAAACTCCAGGCAGTGCTGTAGGTTTGTATTACCACTTAGAGGCATTTAATGGAGGCTTGTGATTCACAGAGAAAAAAACCCACACTATCATTTGCCCCCAAAAAAACCCCAACCCAACAAACCCAGAGGAGAAGCAATTTTGCATGCTTTTTATCCTGGATTATAATGACATAATCCTCTAGAGAAATTCCCATAGCTTCAACTAGGGGTTGAATGGAGAGCAGTCAAGAGCAATGAAAAGGAAAACCCTTGGTTTTTTGCTGCTGTTGATGAATTTCAGATCAAAGTGTTGTGCACAGTCACTGTGAAGATGGGTGGAGGCCATGAGCTAACCAATTAAATTAAATGTCACCTGTATTGCAACTAGATGGCCTCAAAAAGCTGTGTCAGGTGTCCCTGTACATCTACAGTGAGTAACCATGTGTTTTCACATGAACAGTGACAAGCATTCAGAAAATAGGATGATTTGTGAATAAAAGGAAGGGCAGGTAAGGTGCAGCAGTCACTGTAGTGTCCACATGAATTGATGTGGATTGTTACCGTCTATACCAGGCTTGACTTCAAAATAATACTTTGTCTGGGTTCTTCCTGGGGACATTGGTCCAGCTGTCAGAGTCTGCTTGAAGATCAGAATCAGACCATCAATTTGCACATGCCATTGCATTGTGAAACTTTATACTTCCAGATTAGTTAATTAGGTGAAGGTTCAAATATTAAAATATGAATTAAAGGAACCTCTGTGCTTTATGAAATTATTGTGAATTCATTACTTGAATAGTTTAAAGTCATGAATGATACTGCAAAAAACTTATTTTATTCTGGTTTGTTGTATTTAAAACCATAAATATTTATTACAAATTTCTATTCCCATTTACAAAATATTTGCTATTTTAAGTCTCATTTCAAATAATGTTTATTCCGATGAATATAGTTCCCTGCACCGATAGTCTTCTTTTTTCTCTCTGTTTCAGTTATACCAGCAGAGTTGTTTCCAATGGACTGAAGGCACAAATTAACAATCCAGAACTGAAAGTCAGAGTATTGGACCCACTCATGAGTAATTTGATTGATAAACTCCAGCACTTCAATCAAGTAAGTAACTTTGAGAGAGAAAAATATTTTATCACTGGGTTTGATAGCAGAGCTGAAGCTGAAATGGTTAGGTGGTACTGCTCCTCCTCTTGTGTTTCCCAGGGTCATAGGCCTGAGGTAGCCATGGATTGGGCTCAGTACATTAGCAACTGAAGATTCAGTTGTGCCAGCTGGTTTATAAACTCTGATGATGAAGTTGCTCTAATTCCTGGCTGTTGTTCCATAGCTGTTGATTAACTGTCTTGCAGTCCCAGGAACATGGAAGAGCTCTTGAGCCTCAGAATTTGCATGAAGTGTGTGACTAGAGCCAGGCTGTGTGAGTGCCTTTAGGAGTCCTGTGCTGGAAGAATATCTCCTGGTTTGCACAGCTTCCTGGTTTTTGGAGGTGTAGATCTAAAGGTGTAGATCAAAGGACAAAGTGGGTCTGTGTGTGATAGATGAACTAAGCAGAATGCTGAAGGCAGGACAGAATGTGCTCCAGGATGAATTAACCATGCACCCTTGAAAACATGGGACCTACCCGTGGGTTTGTCAGAGGGATGATTCAATCTTGTCATCTCTTTGGGATCCCTCCCAAGATGCACTTACAGTCCTGGTGTGTCTCCCATCTTTCTAAGCTGAATGCAGGGTTCTCTGGGATTACTGCTGCAGCACACATCTTTGTGAGCTCTTAAACAGTGCTAGTCCAAATGAGCTGGAGCTAACAGATTTAACAGAGATTGATTTTCATTTAAAGTAGGCATATTTTCTTGTCAGCTTGGAAGAATGCTTACAGCAGTGAGTTCGCAGGCAGATGTGCTGCACATTAGTCTACTCAGAATCTTTCACTGTTAAAGAGTGATGGAGCACAAGGATATAAACAGTTGTTAGAAAAAAGCTATAAGATTAAAGTCCACCTTTGCTGGCGGGGTGTGCAGGAAGAAAAAGAATCGGCACAGGTAAAAGTGAAGGAGGAATTGCTTAGTCAGGATGTGGGAGGTTAAGAATGTGGCTGGGACCAGGAGCCATGGTTTGATCTTTTACATGCTCCTGCAGAATTACAATTCTCCTTTGACTCTCATCAACCACCAGTGGTAAATCCATAATCTAACCAGTAATTAGTGTTTTTGTTAAATCTTGCTTGACTCTAATGTTCTGCTGCTGCTCTGTAGGCTGCAGTTTAGGGATTCTTTGTATCACATTGTTTGATTTAACTTGCCGTGGGGGATTATAGCAACCATTCTGATGCAGTACTTAATATTACAGTGAAATAGACATTATGTGGTCAGATTGATGAAAAGGATAATTCATTATTTATCTACTTTTGCATGTTATAAAGTAGAGTGTTAATTTACTTTATAAATATTAGATAGATCCATCTTTGTAATAGTCTTCTATAAACTCTGACAATAGGAAAGAGTTAGAAATAGATTAAATTAAAAGTAGTTGTGCATTGGAAATTCTATTTCTTTGTCTACTGTAGAAACATAAAACTCCATCTCATAATGTGCTGCATACAAATTTTCTTAAGTTATGTATGTTTAAAAAACAGCTTCAAATAACACTTTTGAAACAAACGAATAAAATCTAATTCCTAGCTCTTTCAATAAGTTGGAACCATTGCTTTCTCTTACTCCTCGTTGTGTTTTAGGAGAATATTATCCCATCAGATTGAGGTGCTTAGCAATAATGGATTCCAAGGGTGAAGGATTAAACAGAATACTGATTATTGCCCTAAGATGGTTTGTTCCTAAGTACTTGGAATAATATAAATTCCTTTCATCATAATTTTAGTAAGATTTCTTCAGAGATCAAAGCATCAAAGAAGTTGCTAAATATCCAAGACTTTCACATATAACATCAAACATGTGTAGCTGTTGTCTGCTTCTTGAATTTTCATTTTGGTTGTGATATTAATATACAAATAAAAATTGACACTGAAAAGCCAATTAAATCAGGAGTTTAAAGTGTCATCAATAGTCTATATAGACTGTAAAAGAAGAGTTACATAGAATCCCATTACTCATTTTACAGGCAAATTGGTTTTTTTTCATAAAATTATTATTTTTTTTCTGTTTTGGAGGCAATTGGTAGGGTGGAATTTTAGCGGTTATAAGGTTTTATCTGTGTATCTTCTTAAGTGTTCAATACTTACAATACCGTACTCAGCAATAGTTGCATACTGCACATACAGAAGCAATCCTAGAGAGGCAGAAAGCCTGAAGAGTGAAAAACTAAGAAATGCACAAAATGTGCATTTTAGGTTCTAGGCCCCAGTAATCTTCTGCCACTTAAGTAATATTGCCAAGCTACCCAGAAGAAAGCATATTCTTGGATAAGAGAAAAAAAGTGAGAGTTTTTGCAAAGCAGGGTGCTCTGCTGCTAGACGCATCTACTGAAGTTGTGGAGTACTGTCAGCTGTGCTCAAATCAACAGCATTGATTTTTCTAAAAGATACACCTTAGCTCAGCAATTCTTGAACATTCTGGAGCAAATCTAATCGCTGCTGTCTTTCATAGCTGCTATTCTACCTCCTGTCTTCCTCTGCTGGACCTGCTCTTCCTCATCACTCTGCTCCTGCTGGAGCCTTCTTCCCCCTTGCAGACCATTGTAGGCTGAGGAGGCAGCAGTACAGTGTGCAGGGTCAGTAGGGCTGAGATCACAGAATCACAGAATTGTTCAGGTTGGAAAAGATGTTTAAGATCAAGCCCAACCATTAACCTAATTGTGCAGAGTCCAGTGCTAAACCATGGCCCCACATGGGCCTCTGATGACTGGGGAGCAATGCAGCACCAATCTGTGAGCCATGCAGAAGTAGTGAACTGTTCACTCATTTGCATCCAAACCTGCCAGTCACTGGTGTACAGCAGCTCTTCCTTTATTAGCTCCTTCTTATGATTTATCCACAATTGTAAAGAGATTAAAAACTTCATTGATCCTTAATCCCATGGACATGAACAAAACTCTTGTCAATGTGTTATTGTCTAGTTGGTGCATCTGAACTCCAGCACGTTACAAATGATCTGTATGAAAGTCATCTTCCAGTTCTACCTGTCACTGAGGCTGAAATGCCAGTTCGTTGAAGATTACAGCAGTTCCTTGTTTTTTTTCATCTGGGACTTAAATCCTCACCCCATAGTTGTTATTCTTTTAAAAAATGATTATGCAAATAGCAGGCTATTTCATAACCACTTTGCCAAACCAAAAGTGAAGTGAAATTTAGAGAATATTATTCAATAATTACTGTTATTTGCATCCCTGGCAGATAAAGTATTTGAAAGGTTTATTGTAGCTGCTGATTCATATTTCAATAGAATTACTGAGGTACAATTTACAGTAACTTTTACTTTTAGTAATGCAAAACCAGATCAAATTAAGTCCCAGGTTGATTTTGAAAAAGTGGCAGTTAGAAATAACATCTTTTCCTCCCCCTTTTTTTGTGAATAGAGCAGATGTGAACTGCAACTGCTAATAAACATAAAATCCCCCATTGCACGTTTTTGAGTGCAACTTCTTGCCACGAAATCAAACTGAAATATGTTTTCACGTTTTTCTTCAGAGTAACGTCTTTCAGAGTTCAAACACAAGAGTTTCTGAGGCCATGGTTAAAAATCCTAAAGGATCAATTGCATTGAAAAGCAATGAGAATGTTAGGGAAAAGTGAAAAAACTTTGACTACAACTTTACTAGCAATGTTGCATGGGCATTTTCAAAGGATTGTAATATAAGAAGTATTACGCAAATTTACCTTACTTATCTTTTGTCAGTCTCAATCTAATTTGACAGATCTTGAGAATCATCTCCAAATGTAAACAGCAATAATAATTGAATTAATGCAACAATCATTGGCTGATTAATAAATAGCAAGAAATACATATACTTCAGGAAAATAAAGATAGAATTAATGAAAACTGAATTATTTTTAAAGTCTTATAATGCCAGGAAAGTACAAATGGACTGTTTGTTTATTTTTCTAATTCCTTCTCTGCTGTATAAAAATTGTTTACCCCGGTATTCAAATAAACTATAATCTCAGATTACTTCCTCAGTTACACAGTTTGTTTCTCCCTCATTTTTATTTTTATTTTCAAATTATTTCTTCTTATTAGATTCATAGGCTGTTTTTCTTCTCCCCTGCTAAGAATCAGACATCTCTTTGCTTTCAGGTACAGATGCTGAATGCTAAGGTCTGAGATAAGTTATGATCTTTTTCATAATTCATATGCAATGAAACGATTCATTCCAGTGCTTGAAACAGCCCGGCTTGCTCAAAGACTGAGCATAATCTTTCGCTGTGTGGTGTTCTCTATTGTTTTCTATTTATTATATGTAATATACACTCTATCAAGATTTTTTTCTTTCATCAGATTTCATTGTATCTGTGATTAAAGCTAGAAAAGATACATAAATACTGCCTGCCTGGGAAAAAGAAACAAAAGTCTAGTACCAAATCAGTTCTCTTTCGTTTCTTCTGAGAACCTGGCAGATTTCTGTCACATACAGCAAGTCCTCTTTGGGTACATATGTTTTTGCTTTTGTAACATTTTCTCATTGACTTGTTAATCAAAGTTGAGAAGAAACATCCCCTGTCTGTTGGGACCTCATTTGTTCTGAGAAAAATCATAGTCAAGGAAGAGCCCTCTTTGCAAAGAAGTGTATCACACGGGAGTGCATTGGGATGTGGTGGGATATAGCAGACTGTATAGGAATGGGAATGCTTCACCGAGAATTGTTTCTTGCAATAGAGGCTGTATTTCTCAGACAATTAAACAGGATGTAGTTGTTGATTGCTTAGGAGCATTTACCTGACAGGGCTTCCATTAGAAGGAGTAAAATTCACAAGTAATAATTCACATAGTAGGCTGGGGTATCTGAAGTCTATTTTGGTCTTAGTTTTCTGCAGTAATTTGTGCCCCTTCCTCATTGCTGACTGCTGTGTCCCAGGTGAGACTAGGGGAGCATCCTAGAGCAGGGGAAGGAGCAGTGACAAGCTTAGAGCTGCTGCCAGCTGTGCTGGGCTC